GTGTGTGTGTGTGTGTGTGTGTGTGTGTGTGTGTGTGTGTGTCTGTGTGTGTGTGTGTGTGTGAGAGCTGTTTTATGAAACAGAAGTGAGAACAGAGAGATGTCTGGGCTGTCAGATCAGACACCTGATATTTCATGCTCTTACTTTCACTCTAACAAGACTGGCCCACTGTAGTCCTCCAGGGACCTGCAGCCCATTCCTGCATTATCTGTTCTCCCCATCCCTTTCCCTTTTCTCCATCTCTTTATTTCTTTTTTGTGTCAGGCTTTGTTCCTCCATCTGCTTTTCTGCTTTGATCAAGGAACAGTCTGCCGTTAACTTCACACCTATGCAAACCATGAAAAAGTCTAAATTTCAAACCAAGAAAAAGGGAAAATTGCGCCTGGAGAAAGTGTTGTTTGTGTGCACATGCTGTCTGTATTGTTTTAATACCTTATTTACTTAAAGGGATAGTTCACCCAAAAATAACAAATATTTTTCATCATTTACTCACCCTCACGTTGTTCCAAGAAGATATTTCAAAGAATGTTGGTAACCAGACAGTTGCTGGTAGCCATTGACTGGTAGCCATAATATGGAAGTCAATGGCTACCATCAACTGTTTGGTTACATTCTTCAGAATATCCTATTTTGTGCTCAACAGAAGAAAGAAATTCATACAGGTTTGGAACAGCATGAGGCTGAGTAAATGATGACAGAATGTTTATTTTTGTGTGAACTATCCCCTTAACCTGTTAACTGTCAGTTAACAGTCACTTGGCACTCTATTTGATTGTCTTTTTTCCTATCATCTATAGTAATCATCATCAATTAGATATTATTTGAAAGCTTTTTGTAATCTTGACAAAACACAGTCTCAGGGTTCCATATTTGATGACTATTTTGTGATAGAAGTAATATTATGACAGAAATGTATGAATTTGTGACAGGAACATTTATCAAAAAAATTCTGTGGTGTTTGATGTTTTTGGTATAGTGCCTAAACAAAATCTCACAGGAAACTCATTTTTTGTGATGTCAACTTCAAATTTGGAATGTAACTTAGTTAGATACGTGGCTTTGATTTTATAGCAATTTTAGATTCCAAAATACTTTGTAAAATATTTACTTTATATATAATATATATTTTAGTGCAGTACATTTTTTTCTAATTTATTTGTATAGTGCTTTTCACAATGCACATTGTTTCAAAGTAGCTTTACAGAAAATCATGATGTTGATGTTTATAATAATTTAATATCTTCATGTCTTACAGTTGCATTTAGCAGATTAGAGCCAGACGATAATATAGTTTACATTTAACGGCATAAAAGCATCAAGCCATCGGAAAGAAAGAAATATATTCCATTTGTTGTTATTAACAACATAAAGTGCATTAAACATTATATTACCTCACAGTTTCCCAAACTAGGGTTTGTGAAGGAACTTCTGGGGGTTCATGAGTTTAATAAAAAGCTAATATTTAATTAAATCATACAAATTTCAATTAAATCATTTTTAACTACAACTATCAAAATAAAACACTTTATAAATATATGAAATATTATACCTGTTTACCTGCATGTCATGTGACCATTTGAATAATATGTAATCATGTAATCAAAATACGAGTATTTTAAAACAAAATTTTTGGAATCTGATTACACAAACCAGATTACATATAATCAGTTAATCAGCACTGTATATATCCAACTGTATACATAGAGCTGTGCAATAATACAGTTCACACTGAATGCTGGATTGGCACTTATAGGTTCATTCTTTCATTTACGCCCAAGCCCATGTCTTTAACAGCAAGGCCACTAAAAGCGACAAAAATGAAAGGCATGTTTATCTCATCTCTCTGATAGTGTGCAGCTCCAAGTGCTGTGTAATTTATGTTTCTCTTTTAACGAGGTGGATTTGTGTTAATTACAGCTGAGTAAGAATGCCGACATGAAGGGGGCATGCAGAATGTTCACCTTTTACTTCCGGCATATAAACACACACATCCACGCACACATACTCATCTTAGTGAAAAGTTAATGGGTGTTGATGGTGTCAAACAAATTGTGTTCACAAGCAGACGCTGTCAAATATAGTTCAGTCACACAGGAATGAGCTAAGAATATTTTATAAGAACGAGTAAGATTAAGATAATTTGCCATGAGTCATGTCAAGAGAGCTGGCTTTCTATAAAAAAAAAGGTATGGTACGGTATCAGATGGCAATGCTATGGTACTTTGATATGCATCATGTTGTTGAACGATTACCGTATTCCATGTACCATGCTTTTTCCTTTTATATTTTATTGTACTTTTATATTATTGTGTATTATTAAATTCTAGGTATTCTAGATTCTATCAGTTTGTCTGTCTCTCTGCAGAAGTGGCAGTGTGTTGAAGACGCCACAGGGAAGCTGAGGTTGTCTAAATGCAAAGGCATGTCCAGTGTGTCTGCAGTGCAGAAGCCATCTGTATCCAGCATCAAATCACAGATTTATCTGCAGAGCATGAGCGCTGATGTCAGCGTGAACTCTGAGCCTCAAGGCTGCAACTGTGAACCCAAAAGCTACAGAACAAGTACCTTCTCCACGAATAAGCTGCTCGCCAAAAAGAGTGAGTATGAGTAGATACTGAGCTACAAACACACACAGCATCAAGTCCTCCAAAAATCATTCAGGATGCACACAGAATTATTCTCTTTGCCTCTGCTTCCCTCTAGTGGAGAGGTAAGACGTAAAAGAAAATGGACAAACATTTCACTAGTGAGAGTGACATCTGTCAGTCATCTCATTGTTATTCTAATTTATTCATATTTACTATTTATAATAGATGAGCTTTATATTTAGCAATATATTTATAATTCAAGATTTATTTTGCATAGTATAGTATTGCATATTGTTAGTCATTATTACATATTATTAGTCATAATATAAAATATTATATATATATATTAATATAATTTTAATGATATTCAAATCTATTATTATTATTCAATTAATTTAATATAATTAATCACATGTTTCATAATATATTACAAATAATAATTATTCAAAAGTTTGTTGTTGGTAAGTTTTTTTTTATTCTCTTTAAGTTTCTCATGCTCACCGAGGCTGCATTAATTTGATCAAAAATACAGTAGAACATTCATATTGTGAAATATTTTTACAATTTAAAATAACTGATGAACTAGAAAATAACTAACAACATATGTCTGGAATATGTATTAATATAATTATTATTATCAAAATGACTACTTTTTTTTCATAGTGTTGTGAAATTTTTAGAATATAAAGAAATTCTGCTCAAAGACCTGACTTGATTTGTTACAAAAAAATTAATATATGAATAAATAAATAACTAAACACAGTCTTCACATTATATAGTATCTAATATGAAAAAAAAAGTCCTCGACAAGTGATAATGGCAAGCCCTGCATTTGATTGACAGAACTGAAATCCCTGAAGAGCTACTCCAGGAACCGCTTTGCCCATGCTGTTTCCATGGAGATGGGAGGAGACCTGTACGCAGTGGACCTGGATCATGAATACAGACCCTCAGGGCCCAGAAACCTCAGCCTCAGGCAGAACACAGCAGACGAGGACGAGTTCAGCGGTGTGGGACCCACTGCAGTCAGCCAGACCAGCAACAGCCTGACTGTGCCCTCGTCTGTTAAAGTCACTCACAGGTGAGGAGTGAGTGTGTGTGCTTCAATAGAGACACATGACGGACAAAAGAGGGAGTATATGCATCAAAGAGAATGTGTGTGTGTGTGTGTGTGTGTGTGTGTGTGTGTGTGTGTGTGTGTGA